CCAAAGGGAATAAATATATTTTTGAATTCAGAATGTGGTACAATTTCTATAAGTCTTCAATAGAAAGAATTTATGCATGTAATTTTAAAATTTTCACTGTTTTATTTGTGATGAAAGTTTCCTACTCCATGTTTCTTTCTCTGTCTATCCTTTAAACTAATATTATTTTCTAGTTTGTGTTTTTATAGGCATTTATGTGGTATGCTGTATAAATCAGACACTCCTAATCAAATATATAAGAAAGTAATAACAAATTAGGAAGATTGAAAGTGTAGTAGCTCTCTGCTTTGTGGCTCAGCAAACTTCTATATGAGGCTCGAAACTAAATACTTTAGGTGCCGTGTATAACACTTTCTGTCTGAAGTACTTAAATATTCCATATGACACAAAAACGGACAAGAACATGAATACAGCTACATTCCAATTCACCGTTCATAAACAGGAAGAAGTAGGTGTGACCTAGGGGGTCTTTGTAAATCTCCTGTTTACTTGCCCATTTGTAACAGTTAGGGGAGAAAACTGAAAAAAAAAGTATTTGCAATATGTGTATTTTGGCTAAAATAATAAAGAAATTTGTTTTAGTTTTAATTTTATTCAAACTGAATACTTGCAGGAATTTCAAAATATTTATTGCCTCATTTTTTACCTATTAAGAAGGAGAATTTTACATTTCTGATTCATTTAGCAACAAGCTCTGTTCTACAGGCCAAAAATGTCAAAAGTGTTTGGGAGTTTGTATCTAATCCTTAAAAGATTTTAGGGTCACCTCTTCAGAAGGGGGAATGTTGGAGGGGAGGGAGTGGGCATGGATTTGATCCAAACACCTTATATGCATGTATGAAATTCTCAACAAAGCATTTGTAAAAATTAAAAAAAAAAATCATTCCAAAAAGTTTGACAGAAAAAATAATTAAAAATGGCTTTAAATAGTTATATGGCTTCCCCTAACACCCAACTATATTTATTGTGTGTTACTAGGGACAGTCAGAGATAAAGTGTGGAGACACAAAGGAATGGAAACAGACTTTTCTGCTGCGAAGGATGATGAGAGTCTGGAGCACAAGGCAGGTAAGCTTTCTCTCTCAGGGCACAGCTTCACTGAGAAAGTGATGCCTGAGCCAGGTCTGAGTGGGAGCCTCTCAGGTGAAACAGGTGACTGCAGCTATGTGGGGAAAAGTGTAAGACTGAAAGAAGTACACATTTTAGAAATGGGTGGGAATCTACAATATTGACTAAAAGGCTTAGAATATTGGGAAGGGGATGAAACTGATCCAGAACTGGGTTGACAAGATGACAAGTTCTTTAGAAAATATCTCAGGCTTCAAAAGAGATAGACTACAGCTGGGGCGAGTGCATTCTCGATGATTAATAAAAACAATATTGGAACTATAATTACACTGGATTTGAAACAATAATATTCTTTATGACAAAAGAAACTATTAACATGCCTTCAATGTATGATGTTTTAATTATGATTTAGCAGGGCCAACATTGTATTGCATCAGAGAAGTATAATTTATAGATCTATGAAGTAATTTTAAAATGTTTTTCAAATGAGTTTTCACATCCAGCTTTTAATTATCTATATCTATATGTACTATAATAAGTATATCAACTAAAGTTATAGCTGTAAGTACTTAGTTGTGACAGACTACAAAGAATAAGAGGAAGACAAATACTGATAGAGACGAAAAGTGAATCTGTACATATAGGGATTTACCTGATCATGACTCTCTGCATAAGCAATACACTTTTCAAGGTAACGCCGATTTGTGAGGGTGTAAACTATGTTGCCCATATTCCAGTCTTCATCTTTAAATTCTTTAAGTAGCTACAGACAAGAGAGGAAAAATGTACTTCTGAGTAAGCTCTTTTTCTTAGTCCTTTAAATATCAATCTAGTATAAACAGCATATTATTCTACATTATTGGGCATGTAGGTAGATGCTTAGCCACACAGGGATGATTGTTTGTAGTTTTATTGAAAATTTAAAATTTTCCCTCTAACATAAAGCATGCAAAAGCATTGAAACAAACGACAACTGCAGCATGCAGTTATCTACCTATAAATTACTACTAAGACTAAAATGCTAGATTTCATTCATGTTTGGTAATATTTCACTTATATTGTTGCATAAGCTTTAATATATAACATGTGAATGGAAAGGTGCATCACATATGTTCATGTGTAGGGTTAGGTGCTTTGCTTTTGTGCACATATCTTGAATTATACTTTGAGTTCTTTGTCACTTCTTATTACCTTTAATACATGCTACTTCATGATTGATGTTTAATTTTGGTTCATTTTGCTGTCATTTCACAATAATAACTTCTTTTAACTTTTAAACACTAGGTATATGCTTGCTATATTTTCAGATTTGAATGAAAATTTTTAGAAAGAAGAGTATTTTGTTCCATTCATAAGCAATGATGATTAAAACAATGGTTTCAAATTACAAATGCTAATTACCATAAAATAATTAACATCTTAATAGACCACACTAATTTTCTTTCCACTTCACTTTCTTCAGCCCTTTAGCACTTCTGTGACCTAGCCAATACCTCAAATGGTCGTCTCTTGGGTCAGTAATTGCTCTTTCTTAGGTAAATACTTTCTGTACATAACACTGCTGACCTTCTTCCTTCACATGAATTGTTTCCTTTGTATCTACCGATGTGCACTTGTTTTGTTTTTTCCCACCACTATGGATATCATGCAAACGCTTCCTCTGCCTAGTCTATGAAAGCCAAGGTGGTTTAGCTTATGCTTTTTCTGTTGAGGTCACTGCTCGGTTTAAATTATCAAGGCAATTTTGTCCTAGGCAAAATAATAAACAGCTCCAAGATTGCTGCTCCCTTATTCATATGTATGTGGAGCTCCCTTATCTTGAGTCTTCTGTAATCTCTGAACATGATGATATCATGGATGGCCTCTGAAGACTGAGTCCTGCTGCAAGTGCCTAAACTTGAGATATAGTGTTATATAACAACAGAAAACTCCAGCAAGGTTGGTACCAAAAGAACCTAGCTGAATATCCACAGAATTCCAAGTGAAAAATGTCAATCCAGGAAGTTACAAACTACATGGTTCAATTTATAGAACATTTCTAGAAATGACAAAATTATTTAAGTGGCGCTCACATTAGTAGTTGTCAGAGATTAAGGAATAATCAGGGAAGATAGATGTAGTTAAAAGGCAGCATGGAAATGTGGTGTTGATTAAAGTATTCTGGACCTTAAACTAGACCAATGTTAGCATAGTGGTTATGGTATTGTACTATGGCTTTACAAGATAGTCCAATTGAAGTAATTGTTTATTAAAAATGTATAATAATATACAACTTTATCAATTAAAAAAACAAGTAAAATCTACTTATATATAACAAAAAACACATGAGTACTCAAATCGTTTCTCATAGAGTGAACAAATAAGCGAATGAGTTCCACTAAATGCTTATAGCATCTTTACATACATAACCACTTCAGTTACTCAAAATTGATTAAATAGAAGCACAAACAATTAATTTTCCATTTCTTAGTCAAATACTTAAGCAAACTGTAATAGATAATGGCACTTCAAAAAACTGAGTATAAAATACTACAAGTGGAATATTGCTCATAACTTTGCACAACGAAATTGTCTGAAACAGCATTCTAGGGCAGATGAAAGTAAAAGCCACATATATTATGACTATAGCTGTCTTTGGGTTTGATATTCATGTATTTTTTACTGTTATTTCAGTGTATTTATTGAACAATGTTTTCAACTATATAAATTATTAAAATAGAGGAAAGTCATTGTATCCAAAGGTTTACAAATATTATTTAACTCTATCTAGTTTTATTAACCCAAATCCCAATTTTGGCTATACAGATTTTATTTTCTAAGTCTGTATTACTTCTCTTTTTTTAATTGAATGTTTGTGTATTTCATACAGCATATCTCAATCGATCTTAATCATCTTTATACATCCTTTCCCACTGGCACTCTCCCATAGCCCCCTCACTGGAATTCATACATTCTTGTCATTTGTGTTAAGGCCTATTGTATCAAGTTAATGTCTCCCGATGTTCCTCAGTGCAAGTTCATCTACTGAAGTCTAGTCAGCTTATCTAGAGTTACTCGCTTTAGGAAGATCAGCTCGTCATCACCTAGCAGTAATCAGGTGTGAATATTTCTTCAGCTAAGATTGGGGTCTGCTGTCCATTTCCCCAAATCTATGATGAGTTTTTGTCTTAAACATGCTGACACCATTGCTGTAGGTTCAAATGAGTAGGGTCTCAGGAGCTTGTAGGACTCTCTTTCGACATGATCATGTACCTCCTCCCTGGCTTTTACAATCTTTCTACTCCCTCTTCCTCAGTGGTCCCTGAGCCCTGGGTGAGCAAGGTTCAATATCAGAATTCTGTCGAAGGACCAGCATTCAGATATCAAGAGATACAGACTCTTATCTCGACGCTTTGGTCATTTGAGACCTTTTTTGTTCCTGGTCCTCTGTTACATGAGAGAGTTTCATTAATGAGAATTGAGATATTCATTAGTGTCCTCTTGACCCCATGTTCATTTTTTGGTAATTACATAAAATAGAAAATGGCATGTGCCCTCAAAGAATATACGAATATCACACTAGTGATATTTTAAGCTTAGATGATACATCTTGTCATTTATATGATGCATAGATTATCAATGTACAGAAGGTACTAGAAAGGTTTAATAGGCTAAATTTAATGATTTAGACAAAAAAACATCATCAGTACTCTTAGAAGAATATATCCCACTGTGAGCTATGATTGATTGGGCAATGATTCTAGGTTAATGTATGCTTTGATATATTCTTGAACCTACACAAAGAATAAGTATTTAAGTAAGAGTTTAACAAATAAGATTTGATACTTAGGAGAGAAAGACTACAAATCACATGAAATGTGGGCTGATAATATTATGCCAAAGCAAAAAAATGTGAAAATCAAATACTGTTTTTAAAGTAACAAACTTAAGGCTCCCTTTCAATATACTAAAGCTATAATAATAATATAGCCTAAAAGTCTTTGTAAGACACTTATCAGTAGACTTGATAATGTTTAAAGATTCATTACAAATGGAAAACTAGAAGTCATGTTGGTACAAGTTCAGTATTAGTCCTATGCTTTGAACAAATTGCCTGGAAAAAACAGAATAGACAGCAAGCAGTGATTACAGTAATCACGATTAATTGCTAGATGATTAAGTACTAGATGACTAATTTAAGTACTTCTGTCACTATTGTCTCCGTTTAAATTGTTTTTAATATTTTATTTATTTTTTAATTTTATGTGTATGAGTATATTGCCTGCATGTATATAAATGCACTCATTTTGTGCAGTGCCTGCAAGGTCAGAAGAGGGTGTCAGAGTCCTAAGTACTGGAGTTACAGATGGTTGTCAGCTGCTATGTGGGTTCTGGGATTTGAATGCAGGTCCTCTGTAATAGGAATCAGTGGTCTTAGCCACTGAGCCATTTCTCCAGCCCCCAATGTTTTTTTCTTGGAAGTAGGTCCTATGTACAAAAGTGTTTATCAGAGTGCTATTATCATTTATGTAGACATTTTACTCTATACACTAATTGAATCCATGAAACAGGCAAGTCCACTCAAAATTATCCTTACCAAACCTGAGTTTATATCATGACTTTGGTTCTTTAGAGCAACATACATAAATTTACATACATACACATACACACATATACAGAATCCAAACTACTTGAATTATTAAATTTACTAAAATTTCATTAAGAAAAATTGTGCAAATACCATCCACTGATCCCTTTCTGCTTCATGATATTTGTTGATGACTTGCTGAATAAAGGTAAGAAGAATACACATTGTTTGAAGGAACGAGAAAAATATGAAGCAAGTGCACAGAATTACAGAGCAATGTTTATATTGCTAGATAATTACAGGTAGAAATGAATGTCGTCACAAAGTTCAATGGAGGTTTATTTGGATTTATTTTATGTGTATGAGTATTTTGCCTGCATATATCTAAGTGCAGCACCACTTGCATATAATAACTATGGAAACCAATAGAGGGTGACAGATCCTTTATCTTGGAGTTAAGGATGGTTGTCAGCTCCTGGGCACTGAACCCAGGTACTTTGCAAGAGGAGTCATTGCTCTTAACCACTGAACCTCTTTCCAGACCCTAAAGTTCAGTTTTTTTACTGAGCACCACAGTCTCATACAACTGCATCGAGAATGAACAATTCCACTTCTACAACTAACATTTCATTAATGTCATTTCCTTTACTTGAATAATTAAAATATGAAGAGTTTATAATATTCTTATAAAATTTTGAGAACTACCTTATTAAAAAGTGCAAGAATTGATACATCAATAGGACATTAATATGAAAACTAATACTTCAAATTATATGTTACAAATTATCATAATTTAGAAAACATGACTAAGAAAAAAATTGAACAACTAATAAATCTATATGTGTGGGGGTGGCTGTTGGCATGAAACTTACTTGGATCCATTTATCTGGAATTGCCATTGCTAACCGGTAGTCAAAACCACCTCCTCCCTGGGAAGTTGGAGAACACAGAGCGGGCATTCCTGACACATCCTAAAACAAAGTAAATTACTATATCAGTTCACTTTATTTGAGCTGTTTCTCTGACAGTAAATCCTAGGTAGATAAAGTAAAAATTAGAGGCATATACTTTTAAGTGTTGTAATAACATAATTATAAACACAGATAAAATTGTGATTTCATATCATACTTTCCAAAAACATTTTTCTTTAATATTTTCATTCCTGGACAACTGTCATGCCACAAGCCTGTTTTTCTTTTCCTTAGTACCATCTTACGAATGAAAATATTAAAATTATTAGCAAAAATAGTTTCTTAGACTTATTTTTATTTTTGCTTATTGCTTTACCAAAACCAAAAGTTCATATAACATATTTGCTATACATTTCTCTGTATAGCCCAGATATGAAGTGCACATTTTAAAAATATTTCATTTTTGGGAACTTCATACATGAATATTGTATTTGCATCATTTCTACCCTTCCCAGGTGCCTTCCAAGTTCTCCATGCTGACCTCCTCCCTCTCAATTTCTTGTCCTCCTCTTTGGTAATTGTTACATATACATACATATGTACCTTTATAAGTGGAGTGCATTTTTGAACCACTAGCTCTGATGAAATGGAAAACAGGGAACACATTAATAGTAAAGTAGTAAGATGGTTCACTATAGTGGGTTACACTGTAAAGGGTTATTAAGATTAGCTACTGTTGCCTTTCATTTAGCAGATACAGAAAGAAAGGCATATAGAGGTTTAGAAATCTTGAGAAAAAGAGGTTTATTAATGTTGGAGCCATGGCTCAGATATCAAGCCTTTTGACAGAGTGCTTTCTACTGTCATGATACCACTAGAGTACCACTAGAGATAACTAAATAATTCATCAAACAGACAAAGGAGCTTAAAAATTAGGCATAAGGATCAAGATATAGTAGACATTTTTTTGTAACAGCTACAGAAAAAATATTAGCTAAGTACTATCATTCTAATCCCACAACAGATTTTAAACAAATACTTTCAACTGATCATTTATACAGCCACAGTTTTATTTAATCTTAATCATCTCTTCATTAGAACATATGTTTTCTAATAAAATCCCTGCATAAAGTAGTCTGTCTTATTTTTGCCCTATAATAAATTTCAATATCCAACAGCAGAAAATTCAAATTCTTTAGTGGAAGTTTCAATTTAACCATCACACATTAATATACAGTCAGATATTTCCCTACTTCTTTTTGAATGCAAAATACATATGAGGGAGGAGCTACTCTGCAGATTGACATGAGCCAATAGCCTAAAGGAAAAGCCCTTGGCACAAAGCAGGTACTCAATAAATGTTTACTGAGTCAATGAGTTAAAGATACTCTGAGGTACTTAAAGATACATTCTTTGATTTATCTACACTCATAAACTAGAAGATAAATACAGATAGCAAACTTACTATAATGAAATGACAATATTTCTCAGCATACCCAGGAAGTGATATGAAGACGTAGACCTTCCCAATGTTATTCCCTGTTTTTCTTTCAAGTTATAAGTATTGTGTCCCCTAATTTACTTTTCCTTAGGTTTGTCACAAGCTTTTCAACATGTATGACTGCTAAATTCTTCCTTGGAAATTCTCATAAGATAATACCACAGTCTATGAACTCTTTGAAATAGCTACAGTGCTTCTGCTTCCATAATGTTATGCATAAATTCTTTCCATAGAAAAGCATGGAAAAAGAAGTACTTGAAATTTCTAGACTCAATTTATTTTTTCTTTTTCCTATGGAAAAGCAATGTAAGCAAATGCATGATGTGGTGGAATACAGGCATTGGTAATCAAAATGTTTGAACATAATATCTTATTTCTTCATATTGTCTGAAAACTTACAGTGGAAACATCATGACTAATGATCACCAAAGAAGATATTTTAAACCTTATTTAGTAAAATATAAATAACGCCTTAACAGATAGCATAAATATGCAGGTTAATTTGCTGTAAATCTGGGTGAAAGGATATGGTAAATATCAAGCTCCTTGTTAGGCACTGGAATTACAGGGAAAATATTTTCCAAAGAGTTTTAGTCCATCAAACCATCAGGAATGACTGGTGGCTGGTGTTTAAGATCAAAATAATTTTGCTTGAGAGAAAATTTAGATATGTCCTGTGTTATATGTTTATATTTGTCTAAGAAATGGAATGTGGTAAGTAAAATATATGGATATCAATTTGTCATGATGCCTAAATCTGAAAACTAGAATGCTATCACATTAATTCATGAGGTATTTGAACATTCCATTTTAAAGCACGGTGTTGGTGATCATCCTTTGTGAATATAAACTAAAAAGAAAAGGTAAATATAGGTTACCAAAGTAAAATATTCCAACTATGAAAAGTTGGTGTCTACTTTTACAATATATGAGAATGATTATGTATTTTGAATGAAAATATTTCTAATTCTTTAAAACCTTAGAAGTACTTTTGCATATTCCAGAGGGGGGAAATTCAATTAAAATCTCTTATTAAATAACTTTCTAGGATAGTGAATATTTTCTTTAAAAAGTTTTATGTTTTACAATTGTCATTAGAACTAAATTCACAATTCTACCATGTAACTTCATATGAAATTTACATTGCTTATTCATTGCACCACATTTCTTTAAAAAAAAAGTTCATGAGGATCAATTCCACATTTTGAAGAGACTCCCACTTGAGAGAAAAGTGAAGTATTGAAATTGAAGTAGTTTTCAATTTAAGTAGAATAAATTGAAAGCAGATCTTGCTTTTTAAAAAATCTAAAATCAAGTAATATAAAGTAGGCTAGAGTCTGAGAATGTCATTGGTAGAAACACTGATAATCAGACAAGAGCTCCCTAGATGATGAAGCTATTTTACTTGAAATGAATGGAAAGATCAATGTAACAATTTTAACTTTAATGTGTTGAATAATTGCTTCAGTACTCACTTTTGATTTGAGTTGTCTTAATTGTTTGTAGGAATTTGTCATATACAATATCTCAGCTTTGGATTGTCATAAATATAATTGACAAAATAATTAATTTTCTATGTTTGACAGATAAAATTAAAATACTATTTATAAGAAAAAACAAATTTAAAACACTCTGGCATTAAAAAATTCAACACGTAAGTACAATGACGAGCTATGCACAAAAGCTGGTTTAATGGAGAGTAGGGATTATCACTGGGTCACTGTAGATTTGACATTGCCTTTTAATTCTATATGAGAAATTATTTTGGGAATACCTTATGGAAAAATTCCCAGAAGATATTTAAAAGGTAAATACATTGTGGAAACAAAACTGTTTTCTGTCTATGGAATAACAATTGAATTATATGAACTATCTGGAGATTTTTGGTTTTGAGAAATGTAACATAGAAAAAGCTGCAAAAATAATAAATGCCATAAGAAAGACTTTTCAATGAATTGAATGCCAATAAGACAAGCATAGCCTTAATACTGACACTTTTTAAAGATAGCCACATTCACATAAGTGTCCACCACTATAATTTATATAAAACAGTATTAACATGCTAAATTCAATTTTAAAAATAATTCCTACTTAGCAGACTCAGAAAACCAGGGGGATTTTAGTACTAAATCTAAATTAGCATAAGCACTTTACAAAGTTTTTAATTTATCACATTTATCACCAAGAGGGGAATTGTCAATTATGCATATACCAAATTATATCATTACAGTGCAGCTTTGGGACAGTTAATCACGAACTTTCAGTAATCATGAATAACTAGTGAACATTTGGCAATCAGAGAGCAATAATATAAACAAGAAAGGTAATCGCATCAGAACACGAAAGGCTTGAGAAAAGCTTGCAGGCAGTGATCCATGCCATCTCTAATGATTAAGCCAGAAAAAAAAAATGATAGACGCATATTAATATTCAATTATTTTAACTGGTGAAGGTCTCATGGCAAAAGGACCTGTAAACTGATTAGGACATTTTACTTTCTACCCACTGGCATTTTCTTTCTGACAATGGAATAGTGACAAGTAATTAGTGTAAATTATCTCCTAATAGGAAAACAGTGAATTCCAAATACTGTGCCACCCATATAAGATAGCTGCACAATTGTCAGGGTTAAGTTTCATTTTTGAAATTATTGATAACATGAGATCAGTTATTCAAATGCTATATGCTAACAAAATGTCCTGTATTAAAGGGGGTCAGATGGCACCAGATGATTATGACCTTACCTCAGCTATTGTTATAGAATTTGGATACAACGTATGAATCAAATGATTTGCTAACATCAAATAAACCAAGGCATCTTCATCTACTTGTAGTCCAAAATATTCATTATAATCACCTGAAAAACCTTGACCTGAGGAACAGAAAAAAATGAATGTATTACGTCAATATGTAAACTTTCGCTCTATGAAAACATATCCATATTTGACAGGAAAGTGCTACTATAAGGAAATGCTATGAAGTTATCATATGCAAATGTACTAAGTATTCCATGTCAATTCTCAGATACCAGAAAATGCTGAAAATCAATTTCTATTTGAGGAAAACAAAGCAAAGAACACTTTAAAGATTAAATTTAATTCTAACTAAATTTTATAGCAGTAAAATAAGAGAATTATACCAAAACAGAATGCTAAACTTCAAATTTTCTATCATATGAACATACAAACACTGTTTGGCCCCTCAAGACTTAAGCATGGATGAAAGAGGGACTGGGGGTAATCCCTCATGGTTGAAATATTTGCTAATGACTGGCCAGGGAATTCACAGCCTCCATTGTACGCACCCCTCCAGGCTGCAATGGATAGTCTCAATCCAATGGTTACACAGATGGCCCTGGTAAAATTATTTGGGTGACAGACAAAACCAGAAGTCATGAATCTGGAAAAGAAACTTGCTGGAGGGGGTTGGAGGATCATGGGGATGAGAGGAAGTTAAGAGAGGGAGGTGCAGAGAATAATCAGAATGTATTATATATGTATGGAATTGTCAAAGAACAAACACAGCTAATATAAAAATAAAAAAACAAAAAACAGTGCTAGGTTCTAGTGCATCCATCTGAGCTAAAGGAAAGCAAATGTGAAAAGCACTTTGAACAGGAGAACTAATATTCATATTTAAATTCTGTTTCATAAAATACAGCTACGATACATAAATTAGAACTAAACTTCCTCCTCTTCTCCTACCTCTTATTTTGGTTCCTTAAAGTATACTTAAGAGTGATGACTCCATTTACTGTATTTTCTCTTAATAATTTAATCTTATTTTTATATTAAATCAAATCAATATTGATTTTTCTCCCCAAGTCTGTATATTTTTCTTTTCTTTTGATTATTGTTTTCTTGTCAGTTTGCTGGACTCCATCATTAAAGGGTATTTTTAAGAGTAATTATGGAAGTTTATGTCTCAAGTTCTTTCTCATGTATACTTCAATAGTACTTCATCAACAAGAGTTCCCACTCCATTGATACCATTATTCTTTAATTTGCCATACTGAATGGACAAAAGTGTATTTATTTAAGGTATTAAGAAAAATTGGAGATTTAATACATTTTTATTTTTATATTGTTAGGGGGCATATGCACATGCCATTGTGTATGTGTGGAGGGAAAAGAAAACTGTGGAGTAGCTTCTCACTTTACACCTTTACATGTGTTCCTTGGATGAAACTGAAGTCATCAGGCCCACACAGCAAGCATCTATCCATTTGCTGGGCCTAGATAATATTTATGTAGGTATGTACTGTGTACTGGTTATTATGGTAAAATTCAATACATTTATCCCACACAGTTAATACATATGTAATTTGGAAAAGTAAAAACCCTTGACCTTTGCTTTAAAATAAAATTTAAACAAGCAATTCTGTACTAATAATGAAACTGATCATTCTGTGAATTAGATAAACCAAAATACATTTGTCATAAGCTTGAAAGTTTGTATCTTTTGACTAAAATGTCCTTATTCCCTCTCCCTCTCAGCTCCCTACTAAACAACTGTCAAATTATTAAGCCATATACTGTTTCCCTAAGAATTTTGAAGGCACTGCCTCTGGCAATAGAATAGTATAAATTCTGCCATGTTTTTATTCATGCATTAAATTACTTTGTCTTTTTAGATATCTCCTGGTGACTTTATTATCCAGTTTATAAGTTAAAACCTGTACTTTATATTAATTACTTATCAAATCTTCTTATATATTATGTGTCCATTTGTTGTGCAGTTTTAGAGTTTATTTTTATCACTCTAACTCAAAAGCCCATCTTAAGTAACTCAGAATGTTTGCCCTTATGGTTTCTGGTGCTCTCTAACTACAAAATGTGCTTCACATATACATGAACTTTTGTTCATTTCCTCAATAAGATTTAATACAGCTCTCTAGAATGTGCTCTACCATCAACAAAGGGGGTTTAAACTGAAAGAATATCTCTGATATTTGCCATGCTTGCCTTTGTTTTTGTATTCCCAAAGACAGTTTCTCTGTAAGTGAGAGGATAGAAGTAGGTGAAGCCAGGTGTGTTTTACAGATTCTAATACTTTCCACTCAGCAGTGCCTTGACTGAGAGTAAGCAGTAGCCATCTGAATACTTAGCGCTCCTCCATGGAAGCCACTTTTCAAGATTTATTGTGTACACATTTCTGCACATTTTTGTTTGGTTGTTTGTTGCGAGTATGTAACCATTTTAAAAAGAATAAAATAAAGACTGAGTACCGCAGCTCATACCAGAAATTCCATTACTTGGAGGGAGGATGAGAGGGAAGAATTAGAAATTTGAGGTCAGTCTGGCCTAAACAAGATTCAGTCTCAAAAGGAAAAAGTGAAGTGAAAGAAAAAATTCTATCCATATTGTCTATTTAGGAAATTAAGATTTTTAGCTTCCATTTTGTACAAATTTCAAAACAAAGTTCTGCTCAATACTTCAACTTAATTTAAACCAAGAAAATAATTATTAAAGATGAACATATTTTCTTCATGTATAATATGCAAACAGCCCACACATTCACCAATGTTCTCATTTATTTTGTATTTGTTTCTTTATTAATGCTGCTACATGTATATCCTGAGGGTGTTGTGATAAATGGTTTCTTTAAATTTATTTTAAAAGCCGCATATAAAGGACATTTTATTCCTAAGAAGATATATTGCAATGGAAATCATTATCTTGTAACTACTTACAAAATGTACTTACGTTTTCCTTCTTGTTGAAAAAATATCAGAAATGAGTTCTAAAATATATATACAATTGAACAACTAAATATCAAGTCACCAATGGTGGTTGGTTGCAGTTTCTATAACAGAATCCCAAACCTAGTTATAACTTACAGTGAACAGTGAACTCATTGTCTCTAGCGATATCTGGGTACATACCCATCCCATGGTGATGATACAGCATGGAGGTAACACCATCAAAACGAAACCCATCAAAGCAGTATTCTTCCAACCACCACCTGATGTTTGATAGAAGGAATCTTAAAACTTCCCAGCTGGAGTAGTTAAACAATCTACTGTCCCAAAGTTCATGGGTCCCTCTCGGTCCAGAATGAAAATAACAAGAATCAGTTCCATCAAATATGTTCAACCCATCTTCTGAATTTTTTGAAGCATGGCTATGTACCACATCCAGGAGGACGATGATTATGTAATGAAATATTCTACAGGTAAAACCTATTAAGTTTCCCCTTGCCACAGAATCATTTAATATCTAGGAATACCTGAAAAAAAGTGAACTCAACAACAAGTTACTATCTTGATCAATGTTGTACCCTGCCAATCATAATAGAAGCAAAAAATAAACCAAAATATGTTACATGTTTCTGAATTTTCATCAGGAATTTTCATGGATTGTATTATATGATCTTTTGATTCTATTCATAAATATTTTAATACAGGCTAGATAAATGGCTTCAGTGATTGTATGCTTAAAACACCTTACTGAAAGTTCAAGTAGATATAATATCAAATAAAAAGATAAAGATTTAGGATTAATCACATGGTAGGCAATATTGTGTTTGCTAGCCTGTTCCTTTATAGATGTAGAAAAGAAAATCTAATTACCAAAAAAATACACATGCTTAATAAAGTACAAAGTAAAAAGCCCTACATTGATCAAAAAGAAGGAAAACAAAGAATTGTATAACTCAATTAAAAACACCACATGAAACAAGTCTAATTCGGACAACTGAAGAGAGGGCATTGTCAATTAGTACCTTCTTTAGTTATACAGCTATGGTTGAGTTCTCTATCTTATTACAACTGTGGTTTTAAGACTTAATACCTCATTTAGCTTAATGACAAAGCTGTAATAGTGTACACAAATCTTTAACACAGTACAAATTTACGTATTTTTAAAGCTTCTGTAAAGAATGAGCTCACAAAGCAAAGAATGAGTCATCACAATCAACTCCAGGATTGTAACTCTAAACTTTGAGGAAAGATAAAAATTGGTAATTATCCACTTTAAGTAAGTTAGTATGAGTTTTAAAAACTTACTGAATACTTCAAAAATATATGGAAAGAAAAGGTAGAAACAGAAGCACTCCAATAAATATGAAAGAAAATCAGGAACTTCAGAACACTTGCGTTAAATATTGATGGAGATAAATTTTTATTCTATATTATTAAACTATGCTGTTTATTTTTGTGGGTAGAGGTCAGAGGCTGACATAGAGTGTCTTTCTTAACTACTTCTCCACCTTATTTTTTGAGACAGGTTTTCTCAGAGTGCATGAAACTCCCTGACTGGCTAGATTGGTTGGTTAGCAAGCCCCAGGGACTTACCTTATATCACTCCAGCCCTCAAGCAGTGGGTTACACAAGCATGCTACCATGCCCAGCTTTTTACATGGATACTAGAGAAGTCAGCTACGATCCTCATGCTTACCTAGCAGGTTCTTTATTGACTAGCCATCTCTCCAACTCCTCGTTTATTGTTTAAGGGGAATAATAATATTTAACAAAAACAAATGAACACAAAGAGGTATGTTACAACTGTGCATGATTCTATATAACTGTGTAAGCTTATATACAATGATCTTGTATATGACTTTCTAGTTATCATACTTTATTGCATGTTTTCTTTTCTTTTCTTTTTTTTTTTCTTCTGTCTTTTAGAGACAGGGTTTCCCTGTAGCCTCACTATGTAGACCAAGCTGGCCTCAAACACAAAGATCCGCCTGCCTCTGCCTCCCGATTGCTGGGATTAAAGGCATGCGTCACCACACCCAGCTGCATGTTTTCTTTTTTCTTTTTCGTTATTAAAGATTCATTTTAATTAAAAAACCTTTCTTAGGATAGTTGTAGAAACCATGTTTATACTTGTGGGGAGAACTTTAAAGAATAGTGGTTTCCAACTTTAGTCTGCATCAGAATTTCTTAGCAGCTCCTGAACACATTGCTAGATAGGACTACCAGAGCTGCTAATTCAGTAGGTTTGGGTAGGGTCTCGAGAAGTGTCATTGCTTTTTTTTTTTTTAATTAGAAGAAGCATTTCATTACAACAGCATTAACCTATTCAACATACTCCAGAGCAAGAGTACATCTCTTTCACAAGTGGGTGCAAGTTTCTAGGTATTTTTTATGAG